CCACGTGAAAGACAAAAAGCGCCAGACGTTAAGGAGTCAGATGGCTGGATGACCGCAGTCAGTGAGTTTCGATCTGGATGAGCATTGTACCGGCGTGCGGTCGTGTATCACTACTGCGTGGCGCACGTTAAAGACCCCAGGCTAGCGGTCGTACTGCACTGCCTAAATTTCTCATCTACAGCTGAAATACCAGACGCCTACTGAGGCAAAATAACTTCCAGTTGTATAAATATACATACACCAATATGATTTTTTGCCGTGGCGAGCCAGAGATGTCAGAACAAGAAGCGCAAGGATGCGGGTGCACCCCAGCTGCTTTTCCGAGCATTCAAATATTTGTCAGTACCACGGTGGAAGAAACACATTTAGCTGCTGACTCTGGCCACTCTTCCCGCGGGGAACGAGCGACGAGATCGTGTTCGGCACTGAGGTATGAAGTCCCTCCTCGGCGGCCACGGTGTCGGCGGCGTAGCGTGCTCTTCTTTTTCACGGTGTGGTGGTGTGGTGGTGGTGTGCGGCCAGTGGCTCGCCTCGTGTTTTGCTTTGGTGCTGTGTCGATCACAGGTGCAACCATCGTGCACGAAGGTGAGCCTTAATCCGAAGAAGAAGAAGCAGAAGAAGAAGGAAAAGAACACAGATTTACGGACTATGGCAAATTGGTGGCGACTGGGCTAACGCGTCTCATCTCGGAGCGTGGAGCGAAAGCTTGCGCTGGGAACCTCCTGGGTTCGATTGCCCACTGCCCCCCTCCCCCTTTTTGATCTGGATGAGTTTCGTACCGGGACGCGTTCGTGTTATCACTAGAGCGTGACGATCGTTAAAAGCCCCAGGTTAGCGGTTGTACTGAACTGGCTACATTGCTCATCAAACAGCTGGGAGACTCGTCGCCCTTGGAGGCAGACCAAGTCCTTGGCTCTATAAACATACACATACCCCAATTTTCGGCGGCGAGGCGGTGTTGAGGTACAACAAAAAGCGGTGAGCGAGGGAATGGCGCGATCCCCGCTGAAGGAAACAACCGGAGCGGTCGGTTTAGGAGGGATCCCACACTTGGGCGCCATCTATCCCCGTGCGAGTGAAGCGCTCGGTGCGCCGAACATAGTGTGGTCGTCACGTCGGAGAGACCGTCATCACATAAATGTTTCTTCCACCATTGTCAGTACACCTGCCTGGTGCGATCCAAATAAAATGAGCGGCACGAAATAGATTTGGCCAGCTGCGATTCCGCCAATGCAAAAAACAATAGTACTTTTTTTTATCAATTACAGGCATCACTTTCGCTATCGGACTACGCTTGTCGGAGTGTTTTGAATATATTTTGTTTCCCAACCTCCCTGGTGGCTTTTAAGTGGCCATGATATTAATACAAAGCAGAAAATATTAAAATATCTCAGTAGCTTTGAGGCAACGCTTGTCAGGTTTGAATAGGGGCCGATGTGGCCGCAATCTTACCAAGGCCAAGCTGAGATTTCGGTTGCACATCAAAAGAACTCCAAATGGGAAAATGTGCCCTCAATATGTTTTTTGTTGTTATTTTTGCTTCGTTTGTGTCAGGTGATTTTTATTGGTTTGCCTCATAAAACCCTAAGATCTGAATATTTTCTTCTCTTTAACTTAGTTCAGACCGCAGCAAGCGCTACGGGCCGATTATGCCAATGAAGCAGCGCCAAGAGCGCTTGGTCATGAAGATTTTTCTATGTCGGAACCTGTGTAATCGGGCTAAACCAAGTGCGGTGGGGGATGTGGAGCCGATGCGTTGGCGCGCCGCAGCACCGAGTACGCGAAGAAATGCGCAAGCGGGAGCTACGTTTAAAACATGGAGCTCACGCCGCCATATCTTCAGGGACACTTGGTTCAATCGACCATCTGCATCATACCGGCGTGCGAACGTGTACTCTCTTAAAACTGCCTGCGCGTCTATAGCAACCCGCCAACACTCAAAGAGCAAATCTCTGCGATCTAGGAAATTAGCGCAGTGAATGATGAGGCAGAACATCTGTTTAGACGATGAAATTAAGTCTGCGCTGTCGCATTCCGAATAATGCATAACGCTTTGCATTACGTAATGCCACAGCTCAGACTTTCGTTTTAGGTTTAAACGGATGTTTCGCCTCATCATTCGCTGAGCCGATTTCGTACAAAGCAGAGATTCGCTCTTTGAGTGTTTTTGCGGGTAAGTAGACAAGCAGGCATTTCTTAGAGTATCCCTACTGCGTGATGCACGTTGAAGCCACCGAGCTAACAGTTCTACTGCACTGCCTAAATTTATAATCTCCAATGGGGAACACTGTGGCCGTAAAAAACGTTTGCTACCTAAAATGACTGACGATTAATTTTCAATGTATTCGTGTGTTCACGTGTTTGTTTTCTCGTGTGTTTTCTTCGACACTTTTGTTTAAGCGGCTCATATTTATGATGAAACAAATAGTGGGCGAGGCGATAGCAGCGAGGACAGTATGCTCAATCGCTGTCTACTTCTCTCGCAGTTCTTCATGTCCCTCGCTGTTCCTGTGTACAATGCTACCGCGGCGCACGGATACCAGCTACTGCCGGCGCTTCCTGCTTCGTCAACTGTTCCTTGCTGCGTGGTCGACCCGTCTTGTTCGTCCACGGACTTCCTTGCCAGCGGAATGGAGGGTGTTCACGGTTTCCTTAACGGCCTACAAACCGTGAATCTGCAAGTCACCCCCGTCGGTGATGCCCTCCTGGATCGTCCAATCATTGAAAAGCCCAGTTCTGTGACGTCGGTTAGCGAGGATAGAAAAGCTTCACCGACATCTTTCCTCTTCAGTGCAGATTCTTTCTTCGGCGTCCGAAGTGGACGGTTGCCGCTGAGCTGCGTCCGCTGTCGTCTCGAAGCACGCTGTTTGTTCCTGCTGTCACATCTAACGCCGAAAACCTCGCCGTACGAGCGTTGAACTTCAGCCTTTTTTTCTGGGGCCTTCTGGGAGACGTCGAACATCGCCCGGTGGCCCGGTCTACCGCAAGCAAGCGCCGCGGGGGGCTCGTGCAGAGCCAACCTCAGCCCCTTGCCGACGACGGAATGTATGCTGGCAAACCTTCATCCCAAGTTGACAGGCCCACCTACCACCTGGAGCCGGAGCACGTGCCGTCGGGGACTCGTCCGTCTCCCCGACAAGCTCATGAGGTAGCCGAATCTTCGGAGGACGACTCTACCTTCAAGGAAGGCATCTCCGATATGGACGACTCTGAAGGGTCCCAAGACTGGACCGAATCGCGAGGCAAAAAGCGCCGACGGAAAAGTGGCGGCTCGGGCACGTCCGGGACTACTAGCCACAGGCTACTTGAAGAGGGGTTCACCGTCTTGTTCGCCCCCACCAACTCCGACTCGGTTGCGTCGCTCAGTCCATCCAAGCTTACAGAATACGTCGAATGTGCTGCGCCAGGTGCCGTCAAAGAAGTCCGCGTCAACAAGGCAAGGAACTTAATCGCGGTCGAAGCACGGACACCCAAGCTCAAGGGAGTACTCCTGGACCTCAAGGTACTCTGCACCACTCCTGTCCGAGCATTCCTCCCCAGTCCCCCGAACACCTGCATCGGGCTTATCAGGGACGTGGAACTCGGCCTTTCTGACGCTGACATCCGGAACCAGATACGGGCTCCAGTCAAGATCTGGGACGTGCGGCGACTTGGGGAGAAGTCTAAACTCGTGAAGATTGTCTTCCTCGGGAAGACGCGGCCCGACTCCCTCCTCTACGGACTAGTTCAAACTCCGGTCCTGCCTTTCAAGGTAAAAGCCCTGCAGTGTCGGCGGTGCCTCCGTTACGGCCATATATCCGCGGTCTGCAATCGTCCCCAGGCATGCGCACGATGCGGCGCCTCACACGACGGCGGGTGCGAATCACCCGAACCAAAGTGCATCAACTGTCGTCAGAGCCATGAGGCCACGTCCTCGTCCTGCCCAACCCGACGTCGAGAGGTCGCCATCTCGCGTTACCGCTCAGAAAACAACGCAACGTTCCGGGATGCTCGCGAAGCACTCCGCAACTCCTCGTCAGCCAAGTCAGACAAGAATTCACGCAGTGAGCAGGGTAGCACCCCCTCAGACAAGAATGTACCACAAGACGCGCGTCCTTCCCCGACTGACACTCATGCACCGGCGGTATCATCCCCTACCTGCCAAGAAACCGATGCCACTCCCGGCACCAGCCTCTCAGCCTCCAGCACCACGGTAAAACAGACCTGGGCAGAAACTATCAAAAGCTCGAAACCATCCAAAGGCCGCGACACCCGAGCTTCTCGACAAGGCGCACCTGTGCCGCCATCTTCAGGCCACACCGAAGCCGCCGCCCCCTTCTCGCCGCATCCCTTCAAGTCCATTGTAACCATGATCTTTGGCGCCGTGCGTGACCTAATCCACATCCTGCCAACATCCTCGTTCCGTAAGTTCCTGGAAGCCGTCCTAGCGCTCGAGGGCATCATAGGGGCGCTGCTCTGAAGCTCGACTGACAGCGGTACCCTTAGCCCCGCTGATGCCTCCCTCAGTGCATCAGTCCCCTGCTAGAGGGCGACGACAGACCCCCGTGGCTCTACAGTGGAACTGTGCAGGTCTGCTGACCAGACTGGCAGAGTTGTCCCTCTACCTTCAACAATGGAAGATACCCATTTTAGCTCTTTGCGAAGCTGGTCTCCCAGGAAATCGCAGCATCCCTGGGTATTTTGCTTATAAAAACCCGTCCATACCAAGCTTTCCAAACGGCAGCGCTGCAATTTATATCCAAAAAGCTATCCCTCACCATGTCGTGGATGTCTCTGACCTCTGCACTGTTAACCGGGACCTCGTTGCGGTGCGTGCTGAGATCGCCGGGCGGCGCCTCACTATTATCTCAATTTATGTCCGCCCAGGAGGGGGCGCTGTGGAGGTCGCCGGCTTGGTGGATTCCCTGCGCACCAGGATCACCGATCCGGTTGTGATCTGTGGGGACTGGAACGCTCATCATGCTCTATGGGGTGACACCAGAGAAGATGCAAGGGGCAGGATGCTGGCAGAACAGTTTGGAGAACACAACCTTGTTGTGGCCAACGACGGCTCCCCGACATTTTTCCGGCCACCCTGCACTTTCAGTGCCATCGACGTCACAGCCCATTCACCGGAGATCCCACTGTCTTGGCGGGTTGCAGCCGACACCATGGGCAGTGATCACTTCCCAGTTTTCATCGACATCATAGGCCTACAACGTCCTGGGGTCCACGAGATCTCCGTTATTCACTGGGACCGGTTCCGAGACAACCTAGGGCGATCTACACGACCCCTCCTGGAGGCCATCAGCGACGCGGCGAAAGAAGCCACAATCAAGGCATCCGTACCTACATCCTTCCCTGCACCCGACCTGACCCTTCTAAACCTGTGTGCAGCAAGACGGAGGGCCCAGAGACTTCTGCAACGTAAGGGTGGCGTGACCTTTAAGACCCTCTTTAACAGGATTGACGCTGCCCTACGACGCTATGCCAAAAAATGCTTCAAGCGGCAGTGGGATTTGATCTGCTCTTCGGTGGATGCAACCACACCAGCCCGGCGTATCTGGAGGCTTATGGACAGTCTGTCCGGGAAAAGAATGTACAGCCTCCCATTCGCTTCTCTGGCCCTATGCACGGGAAAGCTACAAGCGGCCCTGGCCGAAGACTTTGCTACTCTCTATGCCGCGGCCGTTTCCCAGCCAAAGCCGCGCTGCCATGCGGATAAAACACCTTTCTGCATGGATGCCCCTTTTACGGAATCCGAACTGAGATCCGCACTGAGAGCCTCCAAGAGACGAGGGGCACCGGGACCAGACGGGGTCACGACACAAATGTTACAGAACCTGCCAGATTCACGTTTACAGGAACTTCTTTCGTCGTTCAATGATATCTGGGCCTCATCAGAATCTCCAGCGGTTTGGCGACTGGCATGGGTGGTCCCTGTACTCAAGAGTGGCAAACCAGCAGGAGACTTATCGTCCTACCGGCCGGTGTCCCTCACCTCATGCGTTGCCAAGCTCTTCGAGCGGCTGGTACACGCCCGCTTGATCTGGTGGCTGGAGGAACACAACCTACTCCCGTCAAATATAACTGGGTTCAGGTCCCGTCTCTCCGCACAAGACAGTATCCTGGACATTGTCAGTGCAGTGCAGCATGCAGCAGCTAGCCGTAAGTCTACCGCGGCGGCATTCTTCGATATTCAGGCTGCATTCGACAATGTGGAACCGGCATCAGTCCTGGCCCAACTAACCTCTTGGGGTATCACGGGAAGAGTTCAGGGCTTCCTCGAGGGTTTTCTTTCGGACAGATCAATCCAAGTCAAACTGAGCAACACACTCAGCCAGTCAAGACCGGTGCAACGCGGTCTACCCCAGGGCAGCGTCCTGTCGCCTCTACTCTTTAACATCGCCATTGCGGGCCTCCCAGCCGCTCTTCCCAACTCAAGGATCCCGATTGGCATTTCTATGTACGCGGACGACTTATGCATCTGGGTCTCTGGCTTCCGACACCCAACCTTGAGAGCCATAATGCAATCCGCCATAAACAAGATCCAGGCCTTCCTCGAGAACCAAGGTCTTTCAATTTCCGGTCACAAGGCAGCAGCCATGGTCTTCCCAGGAAGAAACCGCCGGTTGCGGGAGGTCAAGCTCCAACTGGACTCGCAGCCCCTGCGCCTTGTATCAAAGCACCGCTTCCTCGGCATTACTCTTCAGAACCGCTGCAAGTGGCACGACCAGATAAAGGCCGTCACGGCTTCCACCATCTCTTCCCGGAACGCTGTGCGCCGGGTCGGAGGGCAGAACTGGGGCAACTCTCCCCGATCCATGCTGACCCTTCATTCTTCTTTGGTGGTGAGCCGACTCATGTATAGCTTACCATACATGGACCTCCTCCCCAGTCAGGCCGACAAACTCGAACGGCTACACCGTGCGGGCCTGCGAACATCGCTAGGCGTTCCCAGAAGCGCCAAAAACGAGAGGGTGTATGAGGAGGCCCGGTCGCTTCCTTTGCACCTCCAAGCCTCCCAACGCCTTTTGCTGCAAGTCATTCGTCTAGGGGAGACTCATCCTGGCCAGTCCCTGATCAAGAGGCTCAGGACCCGAACTCAATCCAAACTCAGCCTCGCCACCAAGACCCTTGCCGCACTTGGATGGGAACCCCCCCAGATAATCAACCCGCACGGCAGGACACCCCCTTGGGAGGCAGGCCTGCAGTTAGCCGAACTCCTACCCGGCGTCCGCAAGAAGGCCAACACGCCCCCTCTGGTTCTCAAAGCAGCTGCACAAGAACAGCTAGCAGCAAGGTACCCTCGGCATCTACACATATACACGGACGGTTCGGTGGACAGGTCTCGGCAAAGCAGCACGGCAGCCTACCACATCCCGGACTTACAAAAAGACTGGAGCGCCCGCACTACTCACATGGTGTCGTCCACGACCGCCGAGCTGCTGGCGATCGCAGAAGCCCTGACTGCGACGAAGTCGCTGCCTCCACAACAAATCGTTGTCCTCACGGACTCACGTGGAGGAATTCAGCGCATACGCAAACCTGGTCCATGCCCCACTGCCAACGAGGTGAGACGGGTAGTCCGTCAGCTTGAAGAACATGGACACTCCATCTCGCTCCAGTGGGTCCCATCCCATGTGGGCCTCTGCGGAAACGAGATTGTGGACCGCATAGCCTTACGTGCCCACGACCTCTCTCCTACACTAAGGGCGCCTCCTAATCCCAAGCGCTACCAGCAAGCCATCCAGGCTTTCTTCTCGGATATTTCCCCCTGGAGCAGCTCAAAGCGGCCACCTTGCCTGACCCAGGGGTTAAAACGGTCCGACGCGACGCTGCTCTTCCGACTTAGAACAGGGAGCGCATACACAGGGAAGCTCCTCCACCGGTTTGGACGCAGAGACACTCCGCTCTGTCAGCGGTGTGCGGTCACAGAGGACGAGGTTCACATAGTCTGGGGCTGCCCTCTTCACGAGGAAGCTCGAAGGACGTTTCTCTCCGCCCTATCCTCACAACACATCCGACCGATGACAGCATCAGACGTAGTTTTCCCTGAAGGTCCCAGGCATAGAAGACGGATCATACAGTCCCTCCTACTGGGTTTCCTACGAGAGACCGGTCTAGCAGAGCAACTATGACGCCCTCCTGCTCTTCCGCTAAGTGCCACTAGCCCAGCCCGGACTCGCTAACTGGCTCACTGAGACATGAATGCTGCTGGTTTATTTTGCCTTCCCCCCCCCTCCCCCCCTACTCACCTAAGTCCCATCTTTTCCCCTCCTCCTATCCCAGGGCGGAACAACGCTTGCACTTTTGGCAAAGCTAACCCTGCCTTCCCCACATCACGACACCCCCCCCCCCCCTTTCCTCTTCAGTGGGCGAGGCGATAGCAGCGAGGACAGTATGCTCAACCGCTGTCTACTTCTCTCGCAGGTATGTTACCTTCAGAGCGCTCATTGTGTACGGTCCGACAATCGCTTTTCACTGCTATTTCCTCGCCACCATGGGTACGATCACGGTATTTGTTGTTCTGTTGACCTGTGCTCTCAGCTGGTGTATTGCATCAATAGCCTTCTCCTTAGTGGAGACGTTGAAACGAATCCAGGACCACCAAAAAAAGACAGCAAAAAAAACAAAACAAGATAACGTAGTTTCAAAGTCCTGTTCCAGTAACAGCTCGGTTACAGAGGACTCGAGGGCTGCTAATTCGGGTGAGAGCGATAATGACGGAAGAGATATCGAGAGACAACCCACAGTTTCGGATATGTTTGCTGAATTGCTGGCTGGCCAGAAAAAGATGGCTCAGGACATAGCTGAAATCAAATTATTCCAACAGTCAGTTAACTCCCGATTTGACGCTCTTGAAGCACGAGTGGCTGCCCTCGAGTCGCCTTCTGCCACGCCAAGTGTCCCTCGTACATCTTGTGACAATCTGCTTATAGAGCTTAAGTCATTGTCTGGTGTGGTAGACAGACTCGTCGCGAGGAATGACGACATGGAAAACCGTTCGCGCAGAAATAATCTAATCTTATATGGCCTCACCGAAAGCGCAGACGAAACTAGTGAGGCATTAATCTCTAACATATCAAAAATATTCACGGATAAACTGATTATTGACTGCCCACGTATTGAAAGGTGCCATAGAATAGGTCGAAAACACGACGATCGTTCACGTCTTGTCATTATGAAACTCCTTGATTTCCGCGAAAAAATGGAAGTATTGAAAAATTCTTTCAAGCTCAAGGGTTCAGATATTCGTATACCGGAAGACTTCTCTGTTCATGTCCGTTCCGTTCGAAAGAAAATATGGGATGCGACGGCCTCTTTCCGTGACAGTGGCTCCTCTGTCCGCCTTCGATATGATCATGTGTTTATCAATAATGAGCGATATAAGTGGGATGTTAAAACTAATACTCTGGTTAAGTGTTCCGACTACTCCGCCCAGTCTACTTACCACCGCCCCATGTACTGGTGGTCGTTGACTCGGCCGCGGTTTAAAAGACGGTTTAAGTGAAAATCTTTGTGTCTTGAATGTTAACGCCAGAAGTTTAGTAAACAAGTTCCCCGATTTTCTGTCACTAAATTCTTCCCACTCTGCTCACATTATTGGAGTCACTGAAACATGGTTGCATGATGGCATATACGACACCGAAATTACACCCTCTGGTTTCTGCGTTGTTAGAGGTGATAGAAAGTACGGGCGTGGCGGTGGCGTCGCACTCTTTTTAAAGACCAATATTAAATTTTAAGTGATACAGGGTCCTCCCCAGACTGAATCAGTGTGGTGCAAACTTAATGTGGATAATATATCTTTAGTTGTTGGCGTTGTCTACCGCCCTCCCGGCTCTCCCATTGATCAGTTACACGCTTTATGTGACTTTATGTACGAGCATAACCTGTCGTCTTCCAATTTAATATTAATGGGTGATTTCAATTTACCTGGCATCCAGTGGTCGTCTTTGTCGCTATCTGGTCCTGACGTTCAAACATCTAGAGAGTTAGTGAACTTTTCTTTGTCATTTGGTTTAAAACAGATTGTTCAGGAGAGCACGAGAGAGTCGTCAGTTTTAGATTTGGTATTTCTTAGTATACCTCTTCTAGAAAACCATTTTGAATGTGAAGTCGTTGACGGTATATCAGATCACAGGGCAGTCTTTGTTTCTGTTACTTATTCTGTCCCTAAAACACGTTTTGTTTACCACACTTTTCGTGATTTTAACCGTGCCGATGATGTGTCCATAATTGACTCATTAAGCTATTCCTTTGAAGTGTTTGAACAACTTAGTATCTCCAGTGACGTGAATGTACTCATTACATTTTTTGAAGACTTGGTTAAATCGTGTATCCAGCGATTTGTGCCACACAAAACTAAAAAAAGTAACATTGTCAAACCTTGGATAACAAGAGAATTATTACATTTATCGCGACGGGTCGGCAGACTGCGGAGTGGAAAACGTTGCGCTGACCCAGTAAAGTATGCTCAGTTTATGCAAGCTAAGGAGGAACTCCGACTAAAAACTAATTCCGCGAAGGACTTCTATTTCCGTGTTACCTTACAAAACTTAATAAAATGCAACCCTCGAAAATTCTGGAAATCTATTTTACCAGGCAGCACAACTTCAAACTCGTTTATAATTAACGACGTAACTACTATGGACGCGCTGACAATCGCTACAGCGTTTAATACGTACTTTCAGTCAGTATTTACAGTTGATAATTTTGAAGTTCCTCCTTTTATTCATGTTTCGCAGTCTGCGGTTGACGACATAGATGTGAACGTTCGGGGCGTACTAAACCTGATTTTGAAGTTAGACACTAAAAAAAGTCCTGGTCCTGATGACATTCCTAATTCATTTATTTTCAGGTACTCCCAATGGTGCAGTCGGTATCTCACGGTTATTTTTCAGAAATCACTGTCAACGGCCACAGTTCCTTCATCATGGAAACTCTCTAAAATTATTCCCGTATACAAATCTGGCAACTCACAATCACTGTCAAACTATAGACCAATTTCTATAACGTCACATTCATGCAAATTATTGGAACATATAGTCTACAGGCATGTAATAGAGTTTCTCGATACTAATAATATTTTATGCGATTTCCAACATGGTTTTCGACGCGGTTATAGTACTATGACACAACTAACAGAGTTTGTTCATGATATCGGTCTGTCTCTTGACATCGGTAACCAAGTTGATGCGATATTTATAGATTTGTCAAAGGCTTTCGACACAGTTCCTCATTCTAAACTCCTACACAAGCTTAACCTAATTCTAAATAATCATCACCTTGTGAACTGGATATCCAGTTTTCTTTCTCAACGGTCTCAATTTGTCTACTTTAACTCATCCAAGTCTAGTACAGTTGACGTATCATCAGGTGTTCCACAAGGGTCAGTTCTTGGACCGCTACTTTTCTTGTTATACATCAATGATTTGCCACGTTGTATTTCCACTAAGGTCCGACTTTAAGCCGACGACTGCGTACTATATCATGTGATAAACTCCTCCGATGACCATATAACTCTTAACAATTCTTTCGTGAATTTTTGTACGTGGTGTAAAACCTGGCAAATGAACCTGAACTTTAGTAAAACGGTTTATATGACCTTTTCTAGGCGTTCATCACCTTCTGTGTTTAATTATTCATTTGACGGGTTATGCCTAGAAAGAGTTTTTGAATATAAATATCTTGGCCTCCTTTTCACGCCTGATTTATCTTGGTCTAAGCACATTGATACTACATGTAACAAATCTCTTAAAAGACTTGGATAACTGCGGCGTACCTTACGTGTGGCACCACAAGATACTAAGCTTTTAACTTTTAAAACTTCGATTCGCCCAATCCTCGAATATGGTTCTATTATTTGGTTTCCCTACAAAGAGTCCGAGATAAATAAGGTCGAATCAGTACAAAAGAAATCGGTACGTTTTATTTGTCGTCGGTATGACAGAAACTTTTCTCCTTCTTCTAATCTTTCCGTGTTAGGCCTAAGACTTCTTTCTGAGCGTCGTGGTATCGAGCGCCTAAAGTCTCTGTATTTCATGGTTAACTCATCACGTTTTGACTCGTTACATAACAACATAAAGTTTCTCGAGCCAACTGCAACTAGGAGCCACCATGAATTAAACATTTTACCTTTTCATCCTCGTACTGATATGTTTAAATACAGTTTTTTTGCTCACACCATTGAACGCTGGAATTTATTACCAGGAAACATCCGATCACTACAACCAGATGAATTTCTGTGTGCCGTTGACAGTGGTTCACAGTAATGTCCGGACCGTCTGTGTTTAACTCCCACTCCTGCCATAGCCCCAGTGGGGCTGCAGTATGTATAAATAAATAAATAAATAAATAAATACTTGTCGGACTTCTGGTAAAGTATTATATAACTAATAAAAGAGCAAGTTAATGGAAAACACAAAATAAACAACGTAGGCAGATTTACTAAAAAAATAGAGAAATTATTACAATTGTATTTTACATGCGACGCAGTTTACACCTAAATTATTTTAGGTTTGAGCGTAACAAAAGCTATAAAAGCAAGCTCCATGCTTCAGTATGGCTTTACCGAGGACGAGTGCTTGTTCACTGGAAGAGTAGTTCAGGGCAGCATGCTCGCGCTTGCAGGTTCTGCTTCACTCACTCTTATGATAAAACCAAATTCTTTACTAGTAAACAATTTCGTGAAACAAAGCTTACCTTCTGCATATGTGTAATTACTTCAGTTTCATGTGACTACATGCTTGTTTGTCGTTATTCTTTTCGTTTATAGTACCGCTCCGATTCAGCTCATGCTCTTTAGTGTGCAACATGCTTAGAGACCAAGGTAACCCAGGAGCAATCTATTACGTAGATTGCACAATACGTGGGCTGCTGGCCAAGTGTGCCACACTCAACACATGACATTGAATTCTAAATTCCCGCGCGATCTGCGCCAGTGCAGTGACCGTTAAAGATTGAGTTGCCCTGTAACTCGAGTCTCTCTTCCACCTCTGAACCGTCCGAACCGTAAGTGTCGTGTTCGCCCCCCTAACAGAATCAGCCGCGCATCTCCGTGGATGCAGCCTATCGCTGTGAGCAGACTACGCTTCACTTTCGAGTTTTAACTTTTTAAGGCGAAGGCCTTAGTTGTCTCAATACGCGAAAAAGCGGCGTCGTCATGCCCAAAACATATCCATAAAAACACGTCACCAAGCACGCGCCGCTCACGCTCAAGCTCAAGTGCGGGAGCGTGATGTCACCACCGGAGCACCATGTGCAAAAGGTGCGCTTCAGACTTCACCTGTGCACGTTGCGTGCTACGTGCGATGAACTGTGAGACGACCGCGTCTACATCTACGGCCTCAAATATGGCAGGAGCGTCTACATCTACGGCTGTTTCCGCATGCGAACGTGGCTGTCCACGCAAATGCTCCACAGCCGAGGAAGCAGGCTGTGGCGTCGAGGATTCCGTCTAGGACGTCATCCTTGACGTCGTCCTTGACACCGTTCTTGACTTCATCCTCGACGTCCACCGAGATGTCGTCCGAGAGGCCTTCCTCGACGGCGGCGTCTTAGACGTAGTCATTGACGTCGTTTTCGACGTCGTCCTACTGGTCGTCCTAAACACCGTACTTGGCGTCGATCTCTAGGACGTCGTCCTATTCGTCGTCCTAACGGCCGTCCTAGAGGTCGTTCTGGACGTCGCTCTTGTCGTTGTCGACGATGTCCTCCTAGACGCCGTTTCCGACATTGTCCTCGATATGTGCACGGCAAAGCAGATGCTTTCGAAATCCTGCACCTAAGCAGTCCTAAGCGTCCTCCTGTATTTTATCGCCCTGTCAGCGATCTCGAATTCCTTGAAAAGGTGAGAGGTCGAAAAGGACGCTCGGTGGCGTGAGGGGCCATGTCGCACCGTTACTGCGTGAAAGGATGCCCCGGCGGAGTCACAACCGAAAGTACGCTGCAAAGGTTTCCGAAGAATGCGTTAGAGAAGGCGGCCAGGCTAGCCGTAATTCCTGAAGTACTTTTGACGGGTTTTCCATCGAAGTGCTATATTTGTTCTCGGCACTTTGTCGACGAGGGTAGGAGGTCAGCCCAAGGGTCTCAAGATGTTGGGGATTGAAGTGGTACCTCGATTGAAACGTGGTGTCGTACCGGTGAACTTGCCGCAGAAGGTCACATTACACGAAGCATAATGTCCAAGGCTAGAGGTAAGTCCACCAAACATAGAGAGCTTTGTTCGATTCACCGACTCACCGATCGTCCTCACCGTTACAGGTGCATAGCGCCGCCATGTTTTCCGGGGAAGGATAAAAAGCCAGGAGTCGACACCACTTCCAGACTCCGATTTTGGATATTAAAAAAAAATAGTAACGTAGTGCGTTCGCAGTTGCGTTAAAAACATGTTTTACGAATGACAATATTAAATATTATAGAAGTGTCGCTTACAAAGCTTCTAAATCGTGTTATGGATTACGACACAAATAATAAAGAAGCGACGAAGTGATAATAAAAAGGAAACGCGAACAAAAGTGTACTTGCGCCTTAGAAAATATTCGTTTTTTTGTGGGTGTGTGTGTTTTTTTTTTGCGTAATGGTATTTGTTTGGGTCTGTATGCATCGTTTTACATAGTTTGCATCGTTTTAGGCAACAAAAAAGAAACGGACTTTGGAGTATCCCCTTTAAGCTGAAACAAGGTATAACCGCAATGTCCATAAGAACGCAAATAAATTTTAACACATCTAAAGAGACATGGGGCAGGGAAAAGTGGCACAGGGGACAATGTGGAATAAATATTATGGCGAAAGGACCCGCGTTACAATGTCTCGTGTTTTCTGGAATCTTCTTTTGCTTCTTTTGAGAGTGTTGCAGCACCGTTTGTTTACGTGAAATTCCGTTTATGCCGGTAGTAGCGGGTCCGCCGGAAACGGGCCGAAGGCCAGGCTTCATTGAAAGGAGCGCGGCCATCCCGGGTCGGTCGGAAGACCTCTGCGGTCCAGGGTTTGAAGCCCCTTGTTTCAGATGACGAGCTGCGTCCGGGTGCAGCCGCCTGTAAAGCGTGTTCCCCCGCAGTTAGAGTGTCTGTGTGGGGAAGCCCCCACGAACGCGAGAGGCAAGATGTGATTTAGGCCAATGCATACCAGGGCTGGCCAGAGATAAATCAAAATCTATTCGAGAATACAAACACTTAGATACATATGTTTAAGGCGCGAAATACGGATATTTAAGTAAATTTGTATTTCATGCAACGCGATATCCCTAAGCTGCCTCTGCAAAAACTGCCTAAAAATTATTCTAGAATACCAATACAGATACTTAAAGAACCACATATGTTCTCGAACGGTGCTACCCGGGTAGAGTGTAGTTCGTGGAGAACACGAAGGGTAATTTATGATGGTGCCTCTCTTTTTGTGTGGTTCTATGCACTATTCCTTACCTGGAACTCTTTATTTATCATTAAGGCTGCTAAAAAAACATGTCACCCCTGTTGAACCACGTAGTTACAGAACGGTGAAGACTGCGTACCATGCTTGACAGAAGGCGTCTGACCAAAATCCACCCAATTTTTCCGGAAGGGCGCATCTCAGACTGCTCGATTATATGCTTCTGAGTCACCCGTAGTGCGGGTAGATGGGAAAACAGAGCCGTTCTTTTCTTCATCAAACACCATTACAGCGTCCTCTCAGCAAAACACTGAAACTAGTGGAGGCGCTGGCTTTGTTACTTTTGCAAGTAACCTTCTTTAAACTACAGTCTTTCTTTAATGTTGTTAACGGTGATGGATCATGTTATGAGGCAGGTTCATATTAAAAACTCCGAAGCAACTTGCACCAAACAAATTTTCTTATCTTTTAAATTTACCTTAAAAGGGGAGGCAATGTCACGAAATACGTAAGTCTGGCAAAGTATCGCGATACAAGCGACAGATTGTAAACGTATTCGACTACTCAGATACAAATGCACCTTTCAAATATATTTATATACAGAGATACAGATACTAGAATGTATCTCTAAGATACTATCGCGAAACTGCCCAGCCCTGATACAGACATCCCCCTCTCGTTTTTATAGTGCCTGTTTTTTCTGTTTTCCTTTCTTGTTTTTAGTTGCTTTATTTGTCGGCGTTACGGTGTTTTACTGATATTATTTTGTTATCTTCTTGCTTAAGGCCTGAGGGGCGCATTTTACAATCAAACTATCAAATAATATAGATTTATAAATAAATACACATTAAGAAATATATGTGGCCGATGTAAGTTAATTTGGTCGTTCAGTTCCATCTGCACTTAAGCAGCAAGTTCATTATGACTGGATGTAACTAGAAAAATAAAAGCGTTTTAAAGGCAATGGGTATGTCCCTAAACTAATGAACTCCAAATGTGGAGTTCAAACGTTGCGGAATACATTTAACGTTAGATGCGAACGACGCTCGATAAATAATCTATAGTCGAATTTCTTCCGGTAGTTTTGGAAGAGCCCACAATTCAATTATCAACATCTCTACGTTATTGGTTTGTTAGGGACGCTTTAAGCAATTTCCAGACAACCATATGCCGATAAATTCATCTCCGTTCTCTACACAGGACACTCAAAGAAGCGCCCTCACTCCCACACTCCATTACAATCAAACACGCAGCTGCCCCCATTTTTCGTCACGCACACACACAGACAATCGACTACATCCTGCTTCCAACTCCATCTCTGGCGAGAAAGCATTGGGCAACCAAGCGAGGCGAACGCCCTCACAAAAGTCCGCAATGGAAGGTGGCCGGCCTCGGCATCCCGAATGGGGACACCTCTTCCACACCTCATTCACAACGTGGCACGCATCCGGTGCTTTCGCCGTCGTCTCCTGCGCCGTGATAAACTGGCTATATTGCCGGTCTCCTGGACCTTCCCCATCTCTTTCCCTACTGTCCTCTTCTCCCATGTTTCTCGCCGTCCACCCTGTCGTCCGCATCCCTACGCTTCTCAGGGAAGGGAAGTATATCTATCTAGGCGACTGAGATATATGGGAACGCGGGGAATGACCAGCCTTCCGGCCCTCCCTAGCCTGCCTTAATATTGTCCCTTTTGGGGACGAAAAAGAAGAATGAGGTTATCCCCTTCCCGTCAGTTCATCTATTCTTCTGGTTCTTCGATTCCAGTGTTGCTTTTTGTTTTTGTCTCATGTACTTGAATCGGTTAGTGTACGGTTTACGCGCCTTGCTAAGTCGGTGTTCGGTTTGAGGGAAAATAGCATCAGCTAGAGGATTCAGTTTTCTTCTAATATTGATCGTTAAGAAAGTTACTTTTACTTTTTTGAGTGACCTACGTCGTTTGATTATACTAGCAGTTTTCATAGACCCTTTCAGATTCCACGTTGTCTTCCACAAGTATATTATATACGAGTCGCGATTATCTATATCGAGTAGGTACTTATCCTAGAAAGAGCGCGGGGATTTGAAGTATCGATATAGAAAGTCGATGAGTTACAAATTAAGAAAAAAAAATAGGTGATCAGTCTTTTGCATTTTTCGACGTGGTTGTGGTTTATTGTTGTAACTCGCCTTTGTGCATAGTAAGGTTACACAAATGATTTCTATAAAATTTTGTTGTGGATTTTAATTATAAGACTAAGCAAAAGTACATAAAAAACGTCGCTTAGCCGCTGTGTCGACTTTTTATGGGGCAAAATTTATTCTTAGTTATGCCAATAAAAAGCGAGAAAATTAGTTCGAGAGTAGCGCCGGAAATTGTTGACTCATTTATTTTATGTCAAAGCGCGTTTGAGTTTATTTATAACGGTGTCACAAAAAACGTGAACGTGTTTGTATCGGAATAAATTGTCCGGAAAATAAAAATGCATGATTCGCAGACAACGCGATCTAAATATTTTATGAAAGAAATCGTAATGTTATAAAAAAGTTTAGCTCCGAACGTTGAAGTGTGACCACATTTGGCACCTAAATTGTTCGGAAAAACCACGGTATTTCAACGGCTGCGTTGTCTCGTCGGCCTAGTGGCCGTACTTGCGACGTCACAGTGCATGCGGTGGTGGCGTTGAAACGCGGCATTCAGAAAGATTTTCTAAAAGCAGAGAAAAAAGTTCAGTTACGATTCTTTGGGAGACGTTCTTGGTTTGTTGGTGTTGTGATCGCGTTTTTTGTGCGCTTCGCCTTAACGCAAAGATAACTGGGGTGTCTGGTTAGGAGGGATGTTCGAGCGAGCTGGTGATTTATTATACGCAGAAACTACGCAAGCGAGACAAGGACAAGGGAGGAAGTGCGTAGAGGCAGGATAGAGCGCGACTTGCAACTGGGGTTTTATACTAAGTTAGAGAAAGACAGAGAAGAAGTACTGACAGTTAAAAGAGAAAAACACACGAATAAAGGCATAAGACACTGTCAGTGAAAAGAGGGGTGGGAGAGAAAAAAAATAGCGATAAAAATAACAATAAAAAAAACGAAAAAAAAAAACGGGGAAGAAAAAGTGGATAAGGTTTAAGCTTGATGACTGGCCACACTGTCCAAAACGACAGCGACCTCCAGGACACCGGGGAAACTGTGGTTTATGTTCTGAATGGCGAATACATTTCTCAGTGACCATGTCAGAGTTTTTTTACAATCTGTCGCCTGGACCACACCAAGATGTATAGCCAACTTGCCCACTGAATGATTTTAAGACCAAAACATGGACACAGTCATATGGATTGTAAACCCGTGTCCTTTTCTCTTTTTTTTTTCAGCATGTTGTAGTCGTTTTTCCACGTTGCTGGCTGTACAAAGAGGAACTGAGGGAGATGAGAACATGAGTGCGCGT